AAGTTTTAGCTCCTTTGCAAAACCTTCAAGCCACAATGCTTCTTTCACAGCTTTAGTGAGGGCAATATATTCTGCTTCAGTTGTTGATAAGGCAATAACCTTCTAAAGTGTCGTTTTCCAACTGATTGTTGTGCCTAACATAGTGAACACATATCTAGAAATAGTTTTTCTGGAATCCATACAACCTGCATAACCAGAATCGACATATCCTTCAATTATGAATTTTCTATCATCACCGCATGTTCCACCATAAATCAAGACTCTATTTAGAGGTCCATTTATGTACCTAAGAATCAACTTCAAAGCTTGCCAGTGTGCCTTTCCAGGGTTGGCCATATACCTGCTTACAAGGCTCACTCCATACGCTATGTCTGACCTTGTACAGACCATAACATACATCAAAGAACCTATTATACTAGCATATGAATTGCTGCTCATATAGATTCATCCAGCTTTAGTAATTGGACTTTGAGTAGTACTGAGCTTAAATTGAGGATTTGTCGGACTCACAATAGGACTTGAATTTGACATACCAAACTTGTTGAGAATCTTTTGTAGGTATGTCTCTTAAGATAAGCATAATTTTGGCTGCTTTCTATTTCTCCAAATGTCAATTCTAAGAATCCTGGTGGTAGCTCCCAAATCCTCCATTTCGAACTCCTTGCTGAGTTCAACCTTCACCTCTATTACATACTCGACATTGTTGCTAGCTATGAGGATATCATCCATATAAAGCAACACAATAACAAGTGAGTTTCCAAGTCGAAATCTGAAGTAAATACATTTATCGAACTGGCTCCTAGTGAAACCAATGTGTGCCATGAACTTGTCAAATCTCCTGTTCCATTTTCGAGGAGATTTTTTCAGGCCATACAAGACCTATTCATCTTGCACACATAATATTCCTTATCATTTTCTGCATACCCTTCAAGTTGCCACATCAGGATCGTTCCATCTAGATTACCATACATGAAGGTTGTCTTCACATCCATTTGTTCAATTTCCAGGTCAAACTTCGCCACCATGGCTAACAACATTTTAATGGATATATGCTTTATAATAGGTGAGAACATATCATTGAAGTTGACACCTTCTTTCTGACTGAACCACTTAGCAACCAACCTTTCCTTAAATCGCTTCGACATCACTTTTTAGATTCCTTCCTTAACCTTGAAAATCCACTTACAACTGACTAACTTGGCTCATGCAGGTTTCTCAATCAGCTCCTAAGTGTTATTATCATGAAGATATTTCATCTTATAATCCATGAATTCTTACCATTCAATCTTATTTCGACTTCTCATAACTTCCTTATATTCTCTAGGTTCTTCCTCGAGTACCTCACTTATATAGTTTAAGGCAAAAGATATAAGATCCGCATAACCAACTCTCTGAGGTGGCTTGATGACTCTTCTCAACCTATCTCTTGCCAGTAGGAAGTCATCGACAGTTTCCTCAGTTTCTTTAGCATCTTGCTCTTTTTCTTCGGCTTCATCTGGGTTATGCACTTTAACATCATTATGCTCCACCTTAACATGAATCTCTACCTATTCCAACTCTTCTTCAGATATTTCTACACTTCAACCAGCATCACCAGTTTTCTTGAATTCCATCTCAAATTCATTGAAAACTACATCACTACTTGTGATAGATCTTTTGTGACCTGGTTCTAGGAACCACAACCTATAGCCTTTGACTCCCTCGGGATATCCAAGGAACATGCATCTCAGAGCTCTAGGTTCAACCTTGTCTTGCCTAATGTGAGTATAGGCTAAATACTCAAATACTCTCAGTTTATCGAGATCTTGTGGTTGACTCGACCAAACTTCTTCATGTGTCATCATTCCCAAGGTAGTTGAGGGATATCTATCTATCAGATATGTTGTTGCCGAAACAACCTCCGCCAAAAACACCTTCTTCAATCCAGCACTAACTAACATGCATATAACCCTTTCAAGGATTGTTTTATTGAATCTCTCAGCTAATCCATTTTGTTGAGGAGTACATGCTATAGTATGCCTTGCAATCCCATACTCGACATAGTAGCTGTCAAAAGCTTCATTGTAAAATTCAAGGCCATTGTTGGTTCTCAACCTCTTGACCTTTCTGCCAGTTTGAGTTTCGACCAAAACCTTCCATCTTTTGAAATTCTCAAAATTTTCATCCTTAGTCTTCTAATTGAATACCCATAAATTTTTGGAGTAGTCATCAACTATGGATAGAAAATACCTTGCAGGCCCCCAAAGATCAACATGAATGTAATCAAGGGATCCATGTGTTCTTTGTTTACCTTTTTTAAACTTCACCTTACAAGATTGGACAAATACACAAGGTTCACAAAACTTCAACTTCTCGACTGTCACCACCTAGCAGGTTCTACTTCCCCAGTTCGACCAGGTCTTTTTGCTGACATGGCCCAATCTCATGTGCCATAATTTTGTCTTCGACGCCGGTTTCATGGATGCAAAATCTGTTGAACCACTTAGAACCTCAGCCTCAAGGGTATACAAGCATTGTTTCTTAACGCCTTTCAAGACTTCCTTCTACCCCTTCATGACTTTTAGGATACCTTGCTCTCCTTTGAAGACATATCCTTTCTTGTCAAATTCACCAAGAGAAATCAAATTCCTTTTAAGATCAGATACATACCTAACACCAGCCAATAGCCTTATTGACTCATCATGGAGTTTGAATCTCACAGATCCAATAGGTTAAGAAAGAGAGATAGATAGATAGATAGCTACATAGAGAGAGAGAGAGAGAGAGAGAGAGAGAGAGAGAGAGAAGAAAGAAGGAGAAAAGGATTGGACAAATTATTTTTCTATTCACTTACTCAATTAGGGTACAAATGATTACAAGTAAATAACAATAATTGACTTGTCTCAACAACCTGAGAGATCTAGCTTATTTATAGGCTACTAAGTTAACTTAAATAATTGGATCTAAACAACAAGGCCCAATTCAACATAATATTTTGACATTACATACTATAACTAACTTCGACTACAACATGTAACACTGAGACATCAGCATGTGAACTAGCTTGGAATTAATACTTGTCTCCTGCCGAAACAAGAAAATTTTCCATGCTGAAAACATCCCAGTCGACAACACTAGAGTCCGATCCAATATCTCACACGGTCCAATAAAAAATCCTTCCATTAATTAGAATTTCAGGAACAGTGAAAAGAGAAAAATATAAACCTTAGGTATATGAGTAAGAATCAGCTAACTACAACTGAAAGCAATGAGAAAAGGACTAACAACGTTGAGCTCCATAACAACTGCAACACCTCATACTAAAAAATCATGACATTGGTGAATCAGACAAATGGAAACAAATGTTAATAAACCAAAAAGCAATATGCAAGGTGAGGTTACCCAAAGAAAAAGAGGAATCATCATGCATGCTGATAATACTCATTATGAGAAGCAAAGAATGCATCGCCACAACCCTTATGCAAAGGAAAAGAACATGTTGGCAAAAATAACAAAACAATAGAATAAATACCCAAAGAAATAACCAAACAAATTAGGATTACTCACAATAAAAAATACAATAAGAAAGACATAGCCCAAGACATCCATCAAGAGAAAAAGGTTAATAGAAATGGACGGGAACCACCTGACCCGGGGTGGATCAAGTGCAATGTGGATGCATGTCTTTTGATCTTAGTGGAAAATGGGGTATGAGAGAAATTTTCTGGAACAACCATGATGAAACAATGGTGATAAGTACTTGGTTGGTTGATGGAGATGAAAACCTCATGGAAATGATATTTGATGCATAAGCAATGAAATTCCACAAAGTTATGAATATAACGCTTGATTGTAGTTTTTTGGAAGTGATTTATGAAACGGATAATTAATAAGTATCTAAATTGGCGACTTCAGAGGACAACTATCACATTATGGTTGTAATAATAATGAAAAGCATCGGGGGAAAATGAATAGGTTTTTTCGTACTATGGCGAGGCTTTTATTATGATTATATCCCAAACTTCAAGTTTCGATGTAGCCTCCGGTGGAGTTGAGAGATGTCGGCATTGCGTTGTTGCTCTCCTTGTCAACCGTTTCAAGCGAGGTTTCCTTCAATGGTGTTTTCATTTTCTATTACGGTGGTTTCTCTTTCTGGTGGATTCTAGCTTTAATTCTAGTTTACTACCTTTGCGCTCTTAAAGTCTGCTTCAATCTATTGTGATTGATTTCAGGCTGTTTGGCCAGAAATAATCGTGATTGCTTACTGCAGTTTATGAGTAAGTTGTTGATTAATGAAATTGCTATCGTATTATTGATCGAGTTTATTCACCGTTTTCAAAATCTAAGTTTATATATTGTCATTTCATATATCATTTTTTTTTAATTTGATTTTCCGTCATAAGTGATTTGTTAGAATGTATTTGTGATGTATGGAGGTTTGTCTCTAATTTGAATTTGACTTAATATTTTATTTTATTAGATTAGACTCTATATCCCCCGTTTAATGGATTTTTAAATTTATAAAGAAAAAAAAAATTAAGTTAGAATTAGGACTTAGACCCTCCCGATCTATTCCTATTTTACACATTTACACTTAACCCAAAGAAAGTTAAAAAATAGTGAATTGAATTTGAATGGCTAAACATAAATATCGCGTTGACACCCGCGTTGACAACCCATTTCCTTGTCTATATATGCACTTAACTAATTTTCTCTGTTTTTGACACCCTCATACTCTCCAATTCCATCATCTTAGCTAACTATACTCTCTCTTAACTTCTCTCTCTTTCTCTCTCTTCCCTCTTTAAACCATTTCACATTAATTCTTTCTTTCTATATAACATATATTCCTCACTTTCTCTCCTTCCCTCCCCTTTTCCTTTCCATTCTTTTAACTAGCCATATTCAAGCTTATTACAAACACTTGTGTACAACATATACATACATATATCACCAAACTATTTGTATATATATAAACCTAATTCATTGCTTCCAAGAGGATTGATTCATCACCAATCACCATGTTGCAAGATGTTATCCACCCTCCATCACATGATGAACAACTCTCCATTGTAATTTCCTCAACCTTGCTATTTAATGTTAATGCATGCATGTCTTGTGTCATATATATGCATGCATGCAATTCTGAGTTATGAGATATTTGAAACTTCACAAGTTAATTTATTTGAGAAAAGGTTTTATTATTATTTTTTTTAATTTGAGTCACTCATTCTTCTATTTTGGTGGCTAAATAGTGGTTTTTGTTTATGTCTTCTTGCAATTTATTATCTTTACATGCATTAGAATCATGAATCATGAATATGGTTTTCTTATGTTTGTTACTTGTTTCATGTTAATTTGTCTCTCAAGTGTCTAGATAGTTTGTTACATAGCTAGTATAAGTATTAATTACTATTATTTATAACAAAAACAAGAAGATAGATATACATACATACCCTCACAATTTTTAGGACTATAATGTTTTGTTTCCTCATATTTATATGGTTGGCAAGCATAATATTTCTTTGACTGGAAAAAATAATAAGAAGGAATCAAAGACTCCGTGAGAGTAAGGCTTTGTTCTTTCTAATATTTATCCTATTCAAGACAATGCCCCTACAATATCAATATGTCATTTTCCAAGGGCAAAATAGTAAAATAGTGTGACATTTCTTTGATAGTCATTTTAAACATAGCTTTCAATTTCTGTGGAATCTATATCTCTTTGGAGCTTCATTTGCAAGCTTTCCAAGTTTTGATATTCTTTTATGAGTTAGATAGAAGAAAAGGGTTTTTGGTGTAATGACAAAAAAGTTTATATAGGCATAGCATTATGAAAGTGTTAATTCCTTTAAGTGGCTTTCAATTCCCATTGAAGGACAATTTCCATATAATGAAAAAAGAAAAAATAACATATAGTATGAGGTTCTTTCTTTGTTTTTTACTTTGTGTTTTTTTCATGCTATTAACATTAGGTAAATTTGGTTCCAACGTGTACACATGAAGCATAGATGCAATTGTGCATTTCTTTTTCAAAATAATGACTTGAAAAAGAAATCACTTTTTTGGAGAATTTCTTATAGGTCTATTACCAATTAGGGACAATGACTGACTAGACTATGCAACCAACTAGTTATATGTAGAATGCCCCAACAAGGCTTTGCATAATGATTTGTTTTGTTTTTCATCTTCACAATCAACTACTACTATTCTCTAAGTTCGATTAGGGTGGTAAACAATCATGTTCGGTTCTGCTTTGATTAGTCATGTAAAAGTGTGTAAAAAAATAGAATGAGACACACATAGTTAAAGTTATAGATCTAAAATTTTGATTTGTCTCGTAAAAAAATTAGGGTGAGATGGATATGCGGGTCTTGCATCCATAAAAGTTAATGTTTGCACCTGGAAAAAAACAAGACAAAACCCACATATTAAAAAATGTGAATCTAAAATTTTAACTTATTTAAAAAATAAAATACCAACAAAACAGACATGTTCGAAAGCCCTAGCCCTATTTTTCTGACTCTTTAATAGCAACACATAAGATAGGTAAGTATTTATGTTTGATATGTATCAATGTTACACACATACTATATCAAAACATATAGTGATATTTAATCACTTCAATTTTTTAATTATTCATAATAACTATGTCATAGTGTCATGTCTGATATTTTGTTAATACTTAATAGTATGAAAGATGGATAACAATTATGTTACAAGATGTGTTATTTTAACATTAAAATTTGTCTACAATTTAAACATTTATTGTAATTCAAATATGTGATTAGTTAAATAAGTAGATCATTGCTAAATAACACATATTACAAATGATTAACAACATAATTAAACACGATTTTCACATATTCATATATTACATATACATTCATATTAGAAAATCGTAATTCACTGCGTTTAAAATTGTGGTTAAGGATGTCGAGTCGATGGTTAATGGTTAATGACTTATGATAATCATCTACTAAACATAATTAATCACAAATAAGATGTAAATTTGTTGTTGAAATTTGATCTAGTACATCAAAATATCATTTCCATTGTCTTACTTGGCTTGTTTTTCACTTTAGAATACCTACTAATCGACAAAGACAATTATAGCTTCAATTTGATTAAAGAATATTACAAGCTTTTGAAATTTTGAACTTCTCTTTTTCTCTTCCAAGTGATCAGAACAGACTCATATCTATCAACATAAAGGAGAATTGGATTCACTTTTCAAACTCCATTATAAAATCAAAAACCATAGAGAATCACGTTTCCGTCTTGTATTTATATACAACTAACTCTCTTTCTTAAATTCCAAGTCTTAGTAATCATGTTTCTTACATTGTTTTTATGCCACACATTGCAGGATGAAATTTCAAGTCCAAATATTAGTGCACAAATTTTTGAACTTTGTGACCCTGATTTGTTCCAAGACTCTCTTCAACAAAATTCGGAAGTTACTTCTACCTCAAATTGTTGTCATCATGAAGAAAACAACCTCAACAACAACAATAACTCTTCATATACCTTAAACAATATTTCACAAGTTTTAGATTTAGATAACAACATCAATAGCAATAGCAATAGTACTACTAGCACAACAAGCAACAATAACACAACAAATAATACCAATAATAATAATAACCTTCCGATTATCTTCGACTCGCAACAAGATATCGACAATGACATATCGGCTTCCATAGACTTCACGTCGTCGTTGTCTTTTCTTGTTCCGTCGCTTCTTCCAATCAATACTCATCAAGAACAACAGTTTGATTTCTCTTCGACGCAACCTCCTCAACATCATCTTCAGCTGTCTGCATGTTCGGTTTTGAAAGGACTGTCTTCGCAGTATCAGCAAACTGAAAATATTCCCGTTTCAGGTGCTGCAGCGCCGCTTATCGGTGGTTCGTTCGGTTCTGTGTTTGAAGATGATTGCATATCTTCCATTCATTCTTATTCTCCTTCTTGTTCTTATCTTAGTAATGGGTTAGGTGTGTATATGCCTCATGGAAATCTTGCGAGTGGTTTGTCTGGTGATGGTTCTGGATTGTTTGGTGGAGGAATTCTATTAGGTTCTGAAATGCAGACTCATGATTTGGATTATCAAGGTGAAAATGGTGGAATTTATTGTACAGATTCTGTTCAGCAGGTGTTTAATCCACAAGATTTTCAGGTACGATCAAGCTTTCTTTACTTCGAGTTAGTTTTTATCTATGAAGTATGGACACACGGAAACAAACGTCGGAAACGACATCTACACTGATGTTGACATCGGTAGTAATTTAAAAAGTTAAAGAAATTATACATAATTATAAATGTCGATGTCTTGTTGGTATTGATGTCCAACATCGACACTGACATTGACACAATTTTTTTCAAAGATATTGATGCTAATATGGCCGAATGTGTTTTGGGTCATTGCCATTCATGAAATTTGAAAATGTAATTAGAAAGTGTCCGAATTTTATTTAAGTTTATAACAAATGTGTGTTTGATGTCCGAAACTAACAATTTGATTAATCAAATTTAAATAATTAATTTTGTTAAAATATTATTTATTTCAATATCAGTGTATTTTTATGTGAAAGTATGATATATTAAAAGAGAACTTTTGCTAATATACACATCAAACAGTTATTGCTAGCATATAATTTAAGTTCTTTTCTAAAGTCAGCTGCATTAAAAAAAAATACTATTGATTTGGCATAGTAGAAAGGAATAACAACTTTCAAGAAAAAATGAAAAAGATAACAAAGACAGCAGCATCATTAGAAAATAACATCTTCATGATTGGTTCTACTAATATATCTCTTTCAAAAGTCTCAAACAAGTAATCACGGAGACTCTGATACAGACACCAGACACAACATCGAACATGTTATTGATTTGAAGTATCGATGCTACAAGTTATTGATTAAGAAATTGATGTGGATGACTGTAATTTTTCTTATAGGCACTTGGTACTGAGAATCAAAAACTAGTAGCTGGAAATTCTGCCACTTTATCACCAGAAATCTCACATTTGGAGGACTCTCCCTTAAAGGTTGCAAAACTTTCTGTTGAGCAAAGGAAAGAGAAGATCCATAGATTTATGAAGAAGAGAAATGAAAGAAATTACAGCAAGAAAATCAAGGTACTAGAAAATTTATATTATATCATATTATCATACATAGATTCTTTTATATTTTCAAAATTCATCTAATGATGCAAGAAAATATAAATGCAGTATGCTTGCCGGAAAACTTTAGCCGATAGCCGGCCGCGAGTTAGAGGAAGGTTTGCAAAGAATGATGAATTTGGAGAGAATCAAAGGCCAGCTTGTAGCAACCATGAAGATGATGATGAAGTAAGATTCCTATACACATTCTTTATAAAGTGACGTTAACGACCATTTTACAACTGTCATAAAAAAAATTGAACTCAATAGAGCAAAATATAAATAAATAAAAAATATATACCTATCTTTTTCAGGTTTTTTTTTTCTTTACAATTATTTGATGGAGTAATTCTTTAATAAATATTCTTTTCATTTTGTACTTGCAGATAGCTGTTAAAGAAGAAGATGATATGGTTGATTCCTCAGATATCTTTGCACATATCAGTGGACTTAACTCCTTCAAATGCAACTATTCAATCCAGTCTTTGATTTGAATGAATTAATTAAATATATAGTTTGACTAGTATATATATTATATTATGTATATCTATAACATTATATAATATGTATTTAGCTTGTGTAGAATTGTGTAGCTAGGGCCCTTTTCCATCTTCAGGGCTTGATGGATTGTGGAAACTGAATAATTTGGGGTCTAAAAGTTATATACCAATAAGTGAGTTAGGAACACACAAACTAGAAAAAAAATGTATACAATTTTGCAGATATTGTCTTTTTCTATGTTGTAACTATGAACTAGTTATTGTTATAAATAAAAAATAACTATGAACTAGTTATTGTATTAACTAACACATGAAAAAAATTCAAATAAGTATTTTCAAATATAGTTTGACACACCCTAGGAAGACCCGGATCTATGACACCATAATAACATTTTTTTTCAAAAACCCTTAGTTGCCACCACTGACACAATGCAACACAGGCTCGACGTCACCATAATAACTTTTGAGATGAGAGAAGTGTAAATTGTTCATCCTTCGATGGTCATAGTAAAATGATCCTCCTCCCACGCTTGAGTAACTTTATGTCCAAGATGGTTCTTGATATTGCTCCGTTAATAATGATGAATTTCATCTATATATTTTCAACTTAGCATTGAATTCTTTGCAATTTGTTTTTAGTTTAACAAAGTTAGTCAAGTTAAAAATTATGTGTTGTTTGAATTATAAGTAAAAAAATATAAAATTAGTGTTTTGAAACTTTGTTCAAATTGAGGATATGGCTTATTCAAATCAATGATTCAACCTAAAATGTGAACTTTGCCTTGCGTTAGTAACTCAAATCAATGATGTGTCTGATTCGAATGACATACTCATTTGATGTGAATCGCAATACTGTATGACTCGAATCATGATTAAACAGACTTTTAAAAATCAACTATGATTCTAATAACATAATTGCTTTATTCGACTCACATGTATCAAAATATTATTTAAATCAAACAAGACATTTTCATATTTTATCACTTTGATATAAGTCATTCTTTCGTCCAATTCAAATCATATTGTACGATCTAACTCAAATCAATTACTTATTTTCTCACACTTTTCTGCTTAATCTATAACCCTTATAAAAAAAATATGTTAAAAAAATGTTGAAAATGAACAGTTGTTTATTATAAAAATAATCATAAACCATAACTTATTTAGGTCATGAACTATTGTGATAGGTAGCATGTTGTTTAATATAATCATTGTGATATAACCGTTGTGCCTACCTATCACAAAGGTTATAATAAACAACCGTTTTGATATATATATATATATATATATATATATATATATATATATATATATATATATATATATATATATATATATATATATATATATATATATATATATATATATATATATATATATATATATATATATATATATATATATATATATATATATATATATATATATATATATATATATATATATATATATATATATATATATATATATATATATATATATATATATATATATATATATATATATATATATATATATATATATATATATATATATATATATATATATATATATATATATATATATATATATATATATATATATATATATATATCATAGGTTCGAAACCTAGCAGTAGCAACAATATTACCCTGTTTTGAAAACATAAACTAGAATTAATATTGTAACATAAGAAGCAACAATAACCCGTAGTACATTGTTAACCCAATTACAAAGTAAATCATGCTACAATAAAAAGCGGCATGTTAGCATAAATAAACATTGTAACATAATAAGCATTAACAACCACAACATAACTAGCATTAACATTGTAACTTAATAAGCAACAACCAGCAGTACATTGTTAACCCAAAAGGAAAGTAAATCATGTCACGACAAAAAGTATCATGTTACCAACAACTAATAACAACTACCCACAATAAATCAATAACTTGTCAACAACAACAACTAACAACTAATCATGTAAAACATAACAAGGTCATCAATCTTCATGCCAAGTTGAATTCGTACAGTTCTCAAGGTCTTCATTTGATTTGGAATCAATTAAATCCAAATTTATAAGTTCATTTGTAATAGCTTTTATCTTCTTCATTTTTTCATGGTTAAGATTCTTTAAATGAATCTTATTATAGCTCGTTCCATTAGAAGTTTTAAAAACAGTATTGTGTTCCCTAACATATTCAGCTTAATTGACTTTACAATCAACTTAGAATTGAATTCTTTGCAGTTTGTTTTTAGTTTAAGAAAGTTAGTCAAGTTAAAAATTATGTGTTGCTTGAATTACAAGTTAAAAAAAATATAAAATTAGATGTTTTGAAACTTTATTCAAATTAAGGATATGGCTTATTCAAATCAGTGATTCAACCTAAAATGTGAACTTTTGCGTTGCGTTAGTGACTCAAATCAATGATGTGTCGGATTCAAATTACATACTCATTTGATGTGATTTGCAATATTGTATGACACGAATCATGATTAAACAAACTTTTAAAAATCAACTAGGATTCTAATAACATAATTGCTTTATTCGACACACATGTATCAAAATATTATTTGAATCAAACAATACATTTTCATATTTTATTACTTTGATATAAGTCATTCTTTCGCCCAACTCAAATCATATTGTATGATCTAACTCGAATCAATTACTTATTTTCTCACCTTTTTGTGCCTAACCTCTAGCACCTGTAAAAAAACATGTTAAGAAAATGTTAAAAATGAACAGTTGTGTATTATGAAAATAATCATAAACCATAGAATAGTTAGGTCATGAACAATTGTGATAGTTAGCATGTTGTTTAATATAATCATTGTGATATAGCCGTTGTGCCTACCTATCACAACGGTTATATTAAACAACCATTGTGATATATATATATATATATATATATATATATATATATATATATATATATATATATATATATATATATATATATATATATATATATATATATATATATATATATATATATATATATATATATATATATATATATATATATATATATATATATATATATATATATATATATATATATATATATATATCATTTCGAAGAGTACTCGATTAAATTTGATTTTTTGACCGAAACAAGTATAAACGAGACTCGTCCAAAACGGAAGCGGCGAAAACCACGGCATAAGAGTCGGATTTTGAGCCGATTTTTTTCATGGGACTCCCTCATAACATTAAGAAGGGATCTGGAAAGTTTTGTAGCATTTCGAACAGTACAGGATTTAGTTTGATTTTTCGACCGAAACTAGTATAAACGCGTCGGCTCTTCCAAAACGGAAGCGGCGGAAACCCCGGCCTAAGAATCAAATTTTGAGCTGATATTTTGCTTGGACTTCCCTCATAACATATAGAAGGGATCTGCAAAGTTTCTTCCGTATATATATATATATATATATATATATATATATATATATATATATATATATATATATATATATATATATATATATATATATATATATATATATATATATATATATATATATATATATATATATATATATATATATATATATATATATATATATATATATATATATATATATATATATATATATATATATATATATATATATATATATATATATATATATATATATATATATATATATATATATATATTGAAGGTGAGATAATACTTAGAAGGGGGGTTGAATAAGTATGAAAGATTAAGACTTAAAAAATAATCACACAATTATTTTTATCCTGGTTCGTTTAAACAACTACTCCAGTCCACCCTTCCTAGAGTGATTTGCCTTTCTCAACAAGGACTTAATCCACTATTAAATCAAACTGATTACAATAGTAACACCTAAGAACAACTGTTCTTAGTCTTCTCAAGAGCTACTGATTCCAACTGAATCCTCTTAAGGAAATCCTTTACAATCAATGTAAATTAAATACAAGAGTATAAATGCTTCTATAAAGCTTTTATCACAACAGTGATTTTTCTCTTAAGTTTAAGTACAAGAGATTCTAAGAAGAATATAAAATAATGAGAGCTTAGAATAATATGATTTCTTTTCAGCAAATTGTGTTACTGAAGAATGTGGTGGAGTTCTCCTTTTATAGGCAGCTGATCCAAGGATGCTGAGCGTTGAAAAGAGAGTCCCAAAAAGGTCTGAGCCTTTTTGCCTTCACATCAAGTGACCTTTCCTTGAAGTAGATAACACAGAAAAATCCTTTTTGTCTGTGTAATTGTGTCTATCACAAATAAGGAAAGAGACGTTGATTAACTCCAACGGATATAATCTTGAATATTTCTTCTTCAATATTCAGCAAGTTTTTCAGAGTCTGAATGGAACAAAGTCTTCTAATGATGTTCAGAACTTTGCTGTATCAGAGTCTTCTGCAGCATGTGTGCTTTCAGCGTGTTGATCATCAGAGCATATTTGACACAGAACTTCAGTACTTGGCAGCGTTAGTACTTTCAGAAACTTCTGTAGAATTATGCTTTGAGAAACTCTTCAAGCAGTATTCTTCTTTGCTTCAGATGCTTCAGCTTCAGATGCTTCTGACTAGCTTCAGATGCTTCTGACTCAGAATGTTCTGGAGCTTCTTGCTTCAGATCCTTCTGGAGACTACGCTCAGGATTTTCTGTAAAGAGCAATCAGATTCTTCTGTAAGATGCATCTGGCGCTTCAGAGTCAGGATAACTTCTTGTATACAACAGATTTGCTTCTAGAGAGTTAATTTCAATTCAATCTGCAGTAAAACTCTCAAACAAATTTTAGAGTATATAATTCTTAAATATAAAATTTCCTAACAGTTATCATCAAAACAAAGAGTTATTATTAAGAACCAATCTGTGTTCTAACAATCTCCCCCTTTTTGATGATGACAAAAAGTATCAGAAATTTTATTTAACTGAACATAAAGAATTATAACTCCCCCTGAGATGATGAATCTCCCCCTGAGTTAAATATGAAAAAGGAATAGAAACTTCCCTTTTGTCTTGAGTAATCTTCAGAGT